CTCGGTGACGAAGAGTTTGCAAATCAGACTCAATATAGAGCTACTCGCTCACATATTCCGTGGTGGAACACTTATTGAGTTTTCTGTAACCATAGGAGTGTGGCCCCTGGAGCCACGACTACTCTCACCAAGCCGATCACTCTATAGTACATGATAGAAATTATTAGGAGGAATTGATAATTATATTTAGTAATTCATCGAGTGTATATATATATATATATATATATATATATATATATATATATATATATATATATATATTATACTCTATTTTCTACAGATTAGGATTCTGTCTGAATATATATGTGTCTAAATACTTATATACATATAAACGTCTAAATATATATCTATATATCTATCTATCTATCTATCTATCTATATATATATATATATATATATATATATATACATGCACGTATATAACTATGTGTCTCTCTCTCTCTCTCTCTCTATATATATATATATATATATATATATATTTATGTATACATATATATATATATATATATATATATATATATATATATATATATATATATAGTGAATATATATATATATATATATATATATATATATATATATATATTAGTAAATATACATAATATGCAACGTCGATAACGCTACTCAGAATTTCATGCAGTTAATGCAATTTTCACCTGTGAATTCTGACCGTTATCTGTTGCCTTCTCGTGATGCTGATTCGAAATTGAGTGTAAAAATTTAATATATAGAATTAACTATTACCAGTTTATAGCGTTCAAATACATCAGTTCAAAAGTCGGAGGATAAAAAAGAAAGAAAGAATGAAAGAAAATATTACTACAATATCATGACATAATATATTGACGTTCGACACGGCATCAAACAAAAAGTTAGGAAGGAAACCGTCATCAATACTGGAAAGAGTGATATATCGTAGTTTAGATGTGACACGGCTACATGTATGGATCTTGCACTAAGGATCGAACTCACTACTCAGTTTTGATTAATCTAACTAGATAAGATTGTTAAACATTAGACAATTAAGTAATCAGTAAGATTCCCATTCTGTGCCTCACGGATGCAGTCTTGTTCCAAATCTAAGCTATAATTGGTGAATGTGTATCTCTCTCACTCTCACACTCTCTCTCTCCCTCATTCTCTCACTCACACATTCTCTCACTCTCGCTCTCTTACTCTCTATCTCACTCGCTCTCTCTCACTCACTCACACACTCTCTTTCAATCTCTCTCAATTACTATCTCTCTCTCACACTCTCTCACTCTCTCTCACTCACACCCACTCTCTCTCACTCACTCTCACACTCACTCACTCACTATCTCTCACTCACTCACTCACTCACACATTCTCTCACACTCGATCTCTCACTCTCTCTCTCATTCTCTCATTCACACATTCTCTCACTCACGCTCTCTCACTCTCCCTCTCACTCGCTCTCTTACACTCACTCTCACACTCACTCTCTCTATCAATCACTATCTCTCTCTCACTCACTCATACTCTCTTTCACTCATCCACTCTCTCTCACACACTCTCATTCACACATTCTCTCACTCTCGCTCTCTCACTATCTCTCTCACTCTCGCTCTCTCAGTATCTCTCTCACTCACTATCTCTCTCACTCATTCTCTCTCATTCTCTCTCACTCACCCACTCTCTCTCACTCACTCTCACACTCATTCACTCACTCTCTCTCACTCACTCACCCACTCTCTCTCACTCTCTCTCACTATCTCTCTCTCTCTGTATATATATATATATATATATGGATGAATTTTAAGTTCTTTTTTTAATATGTGGTGCAGTTTATTTTATATTATACTAAATCAATGGAACAAAAGTAAATTAGTAAAGTTAATGATATAACATGGCGAAATCACTTCGCTAACTAAATTTTAAAGAGGCATTAACCCCCTAACCACTCGATGAATGTTATGATCCTTGTTTATTAAAATTATAAACTGTATTAGGTCTTCCTTAGATATGCAAGTACTTTCGACGTGTCCTCCGGTCATCATCAGGCATGGAAACTATTTTCTTTTTGGTAAAATTCAGGTAGCATCCGAGGCGAAAAAATATAATGCAAATCGAAATATGTTTTTTTGAAATGTTTTATTGATAACGGATACAAACGTTTGGAGCATGCATTCGCAACACGAAAGGTGAAGTTATCTTAGAAATTTAAGCTAGAACTTTTCTTACTAATATGGCAATTTAAGAATTCTTGTAATTGTAGGAGTTTATCAGCCAACATTGGCATGGACTAAATAGTTCAATAAGTAATGTCTCAGTTGTTTTCCCGAAAAATTGCACGTCGAATCAGTTGTTTTAAATCAAATATGTGTTGCAGTTTAATTTATATTAAACCAAATCTAAACTACAATTGGTGAATGTATATATATATATATATATATATATATATATATATATATATATATATATATATATATATATCAAAATGTGGTGCAGTTTAGTTTATATTATAATGAATCATTCCTAC